TTATGGTTTTGTGGGGTACAGTTAAGGGTTAGGTGTACAATTACGTTTCATTTAGGCACCCTGGTGATAAGTGGTGTTTCCCCATAAAAAAAAACTATTTTTTTTTGAAAAAAAATATACATGTTTTATTATATCCTCATAGTAGACCCACAAGGTAAACATGTTTCACAGATGAGGCACTGAGACACAGAAGTAAACGAATTCACCCAAGTTTCCCTAGGATTTGAACGCAGGTAGGGTTGTGTCTTCATCTGCTACAGATAATAGCACCTGGCCAGAGATATATTCTCACAGAGAGCAAACTGATCATTTTCTCTTCAAGGCAGTTGGGGTTCTGAAGAATGGATGAACTATGTGTCAGTTTCTTTTTTCTTTTTTTAATCAATATTTTTTATTATGATTTTGTGGGGTACAGTTAAGGGTTAGGTGTACAATTACATTTCATTCAGGCACCCTGTTGATAAGAAAAAAAAAACTTTCAATACTTCAGCTCCTGGCTGGCTCACCCCCCCCCCAAAAAAAACGTTTAATACTTACATTCTTCAGGTTCTCAATTCAGTCTCTCTAGGGTGGGGCAAGAAAACAAAAGCTTAAGAGCCACACCTTCCCAATACTCTCCTTCTGAACTGCCTGCTGACCAGGTAAATTGTTTTTGTAAACAACATTCATTGTAAAAGCTCACTCACTGCAATTTATAATCAGCTATAGCGCTTTTTAGTGTCAAATTGCTAACGACTTTAAAATCTCTTCCCAGGCAGAAGCAAACGAATCCAACATAGGATAGATAACAAGGTGACTTTGCTTAAAGTATTACTAATTATTTTTGTTAAACTTTAAGGTAATGTTTCCTCTGTCAAGGCGAAAGGCCAGTACCACCCTTCCTCCCACTCCTTCCATCCAAAGCGGGCAGATGTCAATCTCCCATCTTTGGGGCGGAGGTTACCTGGGATCTACCCTCTTAGCAGATCCATCGCTGAGAAGGTGTGTAAGACCTATTGTCGAAACAAAAGGGACAGTTTTCTTCCGCCCGAGTTACCTGTTTTAAATTCTTGTGTTCCTACAATTTAAACTACAGCCTGTAAAAAGGAATGGAGGAGTTGGAACTCGAGAGGAAGCAGGCTCACACCAAGGAAGTGCGGGATGAGGACGATGAGGATTGTGTGCCCCATGTGCCATGAGGACAGCGCCGGCAGCTACTTTTGCAGAAGTGGCTGCAGCGAAGACGCAAGGGAGCTGCGGAGAAGGAGCAGTAGGACAGCAAGCGGCAGTGAACCCCGGGGAAATGAGGACGACATCTCCCTCAGTTCAATGTCAGCCTCCTGGGTCAGCATCAGCACCTCAAAGAGAAGGGTGAAGCCCACAAGGAGTCTGCCAAGGAGAAGCAGCTGAAGGAAGAAGAAAAATCCTGGAGAGTGTGGCTGAGGGCCAATCCTTGGTGTCAGTGAAGGAGATGGCCAAAGACATCACGTATGACGACCCCATCAGAACCAGTTGGACCCCACCCTGTTATATCCCGAGTATGTCTACAGAGCTTCATGAGCATGTATGGAAGAAATACCACATCCTGGTGGAGGGAGATAGTATCTCCGCACCCATCAAGAGCTTCGAGGAAATGAAGTTTCCTGCCGCCATCTTGAGAGGTCTGAAGAAGAAGGGCATCCATCACCCAACATCCATTCAGATCCAGGGCATCTCCACCATTTTGTCCGGCCATGACATGATAGGCACAGGTTCAGGCAAGACGCTGGTGTTCACGCTGCCCGTCATCATGTTCTGCCTGGGACAAGAGAAGAGGCTGCCTTTCTTCAAGCGTGAGGGTCCCCATGGCCTCATCGTCTGCCCCTCGCGGAAGCTGGCCCGGCAGACCCATGGCATCCTGGAGTACTGTTGCTGCCTACTGAGGAGGACCACCTGCCGCTCCTGTGCATTCTGCGTCGGGGATTTGTCCGTCAAAGAGCAGATGGAGACCCTCCAACACGGTGTGCATATGATGGTGGCTACCACTGGGTTCCTCATGGATCTACTGCAGAAGAAGATGGTAAGCCTGGACATCTGGCGCTACTTGGTCCTGGATGAGGCTGACCACCTGATCAACATGGGCTTCAAGAGCGATATCCGCACCGTCTTCTTCTACTTCAAGGGCCAGCAGCAGACCCTGCTCTTTAGTGCCACCACGCCGAAGAAGATCCAGAACTTTGCCAATTGCGCCCTTGTGAAGCCTGTCACCATCAACGTGGGGCGTGTGGGGGCTGCCAGCCTGGATGTCATCCAGGAAGTGGATTATGTGAAGGAGGGGGCCAAGATGGTTTACCTGCTTGAGGGCCTGCAGAAAACATCCCCACCCGTGCTCATCTTTGCAGAGAAAAAAGTGGATGTGGACGCCATCCACGAGAACCTGCTGCTCAAAGGCCGTCGAGGCCATAGCCATCCATGGAGGCAAAGACCAGGAGGAGCAGACCGAGGCCATCGAGACATTCTAAGAGGACAAGAAGGATGTCCTAGTGGATGCAGATATAGCCTCCAAGGGCCTGGACTTCCCTGCTATCCAGTACATCATCAACTATGACATACTTGAGGAGATTGCAAACTATGTGTACTGCTGATGGAAGCCAAGCAGAAGGTGCCACCCATGCTGCAAGTGCTGCACTGCGGGGACGAGTCCATGCTGGACATTGGAGGAGAGCAAGGCTATGCCTTCTGTGGGGGCCTGGGCCATCGGATCACCGACTGCCCCAAACTTGAGGCCATGCAGACCAAGCGGGTCAGCAACATTGGCTGCAAGGACTACCTGGCCCACAGCTCCATGGACTTCTGAGGTGACCACCTTCCCTCCTGGTTGAGGCTCCAGTGGCCAGGACTTCAGCCACCCCCACACACACCAGCCTCCTGGACACGAGGCCAGCATCCTGGGCCCGGCTGGCCTGGGCTGGGCCAGGCTTGGCTGGCTGCCTGCTCTTTGTGTCACCCAGAATCACTATTTCTGTTCCCTTCACCCCAACTGCCATTAAAGCACAAGATTCTTTCTCAGCTCCCCAATAATAATTATAAACTACCATCTAACTACATCTCCAAACTAATATTTTCAAGTTTTGTTTTCCTTCAGACTTTCTCGAAGTAGCTGTATTTCCTTGTTAAAGTCATTATTAACAAACTCCTTATAACTGTCTGTAAAGTCTTACCCCGAAACCCAAAGAAACTTGAAGACAAGCTGCAGGAACTGCCTGGACTCCTGTAGTGGGTGTCAAGCCCACGGGGGTAAATATTTATAAATACATTTTACCAGACATCAAAACCCTAGTATGTCATAGCAGTGGCTATAATGGCCTTCCTTATAGTATTATTAATTCCAATAGTATATGGCTTCCATGTTTCCTAGCTTTGGCCCCCTCCACTACCTTGGGAAGGTGAACCTCTCTCTCTGATTTACTTTCTATATATACTATATTTTACAATCTCACTTCTGTGCAATTGTTTGCATTCTTCTCGCAGCATCAGATGTAAAACCAGATGCCCCCCCTCCCCCGTTGGGCCTGACCTACCATTTGGAGGCCCCTACTGGGATTGTAACCTAACAGTTCCCAGATGACAGGCAATTTACTATGAATACTTACTAAGCACATCCTAAGATTTGTTCTATGTGTTCATTCCTTTTATCCTTACAACAGTCCCACCAAGTGGAGACTATAATTCTATTTTATGTTATTATTATTATTTTTTTTTTTAGTCGGAGTCTCACTCTGTATCCCAGGCTAAAGGACAGCGGCACGCTCACGGTCACCACAGCCTTAACCTGCTGGATTTAGGCAATCATTTCACCTCATCTTTCCAAGTAGCTGGAACTACAAGCATGCACCATCATGCCTGGCTAATTTTTTGGTTTATTGTAGAGATGAGGTCTCACCAAGTTGCCCAGGTTGGTCTTGAACCTGTGGGCTCAGGCAATCCTCTCACCTTGACCTCCCAAAGTTCTGGGATTACAGGTATGAGCCACCACGCCCAGCCGAGGCTATTATTTTAAAGAAAAAGGAGAACTGAGGCATATAGAGGAAAGTGAATTTTCCAGAATCCTATAACTCATGGTGAGAACCCAAAGTCTCAGGTCCTAGGCCTGGTTTCCTAGGTCTTTATCACCATTATGGTGGTTGATGCTACGGAGCGTGATATCTGTCTAGCATTTTTAACTCTACCGTGGTCTCACTCAAATCCGTTCCCTCTCTATTCCCTTGAGACGGTGGTGGGGCCGGTGGGGCCCACCTTCAGGGGAACCCAGGGCTGTCCCTGTGCCAGGGGCTATGCCCTTTAGATGCCTTGATGCAGCGGGTCAGACCATGAGGATCCACCAGCGCCCCGGGGGGTCAGAAAGGACTTCCATTTTCCTCACTGCTGCAAAGCGAGGGTACCGCTGGAACCAGGACCCAGGCCTGTGGCTTCCAGTCTTTTTAGCAACAGCCAGGCCCAGCCAGCTTCCGGGAGAATGGAGCTCGGCTCCCTTAAGCCCGGCACCCTTCAGCAGGGCTATCTGATCCCCCAAAGCCCTCAGTGGCAACAGAGTGCCTATGGGCCCAGATATGAGCACAAGGCCTATTTTACCGCTGGCTCTGAGAGGTTAAACTGCCAAACCCCGCGTCCGCGCGCTCAGGCGCCTCTCTCGCATAGAAGCGGCTTCTCCAGGCCCTGTGCCCAGCGCCTGGCACGCCGCAGGCGCTCCTAGTTTCCCGACGAAGGGC